TACATCCTTCAAAGTCATAGTTCAGCAATTATTATTCTTTAAACTTAATATATGAATCTTATGGTTGTAAAGACTATGATAGAAGGACGTTGCCAGACACGGTGGTTCACACCTGTAATCTAAGCACTTTGGAAGACTGAGACAGGGGTATAGCTTGAGCCCAGAAGTTTGAGACTAGCCTGGGCAATGTAGCGAGACCCTCAGCTCTAAAACAATTTAAAATATATTTTACATTTTAAAAATAAAGGACATTAGATAAAGAGTATAAAAGTGAGGGTCAGGAGGTTTACTAAGTGATTAAAACATTGGTGGTCAGATTGTTAGGTTCCCAGAGAAGGCAGCTGAGGAATGGCATCATTTTTTTTGGACTTGGTCCTCCACCAGATAGAGCTACAGGTACTGCCCTCGGTCTCTACTTTGTGCTTAAAGTAGGGATATTTTAGATGTCTCCTCTTCCTGATATTGGAACCTCATGATGCTTCTGCACTTGACCTCTGAATACAACATGAAACAATGTAGAAATTCTTCTATGGAGAAATCACAGCTTCTCAGCAATGGAGGTAGAACCAGATGATGCAAATATACAAGCTTAAAACAACTTTTCTTATATTGGAATGGAAAAGAGAAAATATTCACAAACGAAAGACCATGACAATCTTTCACTTGGGCTTTATTAGGGCCTCAGTTAAATAATGAAAATGTGTGGTTCATTTTTCAACTCACAAATTAATTGATCCTAAAAATGCACTTTAAGTTAATTATGGACAAATAACATCATACACTAAGTCACTTTGAATAGATTCAAATTTATATGTTATTATAGAAGTGAAGTAAAATTTGACTAAGTAAAATATTACCAAATCAAAAAACTAATTGACTCAATATTGTTTCCTGAGATTCAAGAGAGTAGAGCTGTGAGTCTCCAATGAGACGAGAACCTGAAATTTGAGACTAACATGGTCACACTTGGGACCATTTCTGAGGCCAAATGATCCCAGAATTTGACTTACTTTCTCTATGCTCTGCTTGAAGCAATTGGAAGTAGTTTCTTTCACTATATTGAAGAAGACCTGTCTGTCCTCCATGTCGATCAGACGGTCATAGAAGACCCGATAAACCTCATGGATCCAAAGTCGGATTAATTTTTCTACATCCTAAAAATCCAGAGTTAATTATTTGAATGATGAGAAGATGGTGCCTGAGATGGTAGTTCTCAAGCAGAATATAAGTCCTGGGGTGAGAATTAAAATTATCTTTATAAGATAATGCTTATAAAGTACTTAGCACAATGCCTAGCATAAACTAAGTGCTGAGTAAAAGTTAGCTGTTACTACTATCACTACACGTTCTGTGTAGCCAAGGATATTTCTGAATGATCTTGGTAACAAAAATGATGGTGGCTGACCTGGAGGTGGGTGTGAGGGCAGAGCAGTATCCCTTGAATCACCCGTGAGAAGTCCCTCAGGTTAAAGACATAATGTGACTTAGAGGGAGTTGGCAAGAAGTTCTCCACTGCAGCTCTATAAATTGTCTTAGTAGCTTGTACTAGCATCTTTCCATACCTTGGGAGGAAGGGAAAGGTATACTAGTCAAAGAGGAGCCAGAATTGTGAACCTCCAGTTCAACATCCAGGAAGAAGCAGGAACCTCTTACCTTAAGAATATCACATCAAATCCTTTCCCGAAGTGCCAGTCAACAATAGAGCTGAAAATCTTGGTCAAAACGTCATCCTCAAAGGCATCGATGGAAATGATATTCAGATGGCGAGTGAATCGTCCTGGAAAACACACACACATGCGAGTGTGCACACATACTCACACTAATCAAAAAATTACCTGGGCACGGTAGCATGTGCCTGTAGTACTGGCTACTTGGAAAGTTGAGGCGGAAGGATCGCCGGACCTAGTGACCCTGGGATACAGGAGAATTGGCCTGCCCTCTGCCTTCATGTTCTAGACCTGTGCTGTGCAATATGGCAGCCTTCAACTACATATAGCTGTTTCAATTAAATTAAATTTCTACTAAATAAGATTAAAAATGGATTTCCTCAGCCTCACTAGCTACAACTCAAGTTCTCAAGAGCCACATGTGGCTACTCTTCAGTGCAGATATAGAACATGGCATTTGCAGAAGTTCTTTGAACAGCTCCAGTCCAGTGCTCAAGCTTGTTTTTAACAGATAAAGGCAATACATGATCCTTGTAAAATAGTCAAAGAGTTCAGAAATACTTTTGTAGAAAATATCTCCTTTCACTTCCCTCCCACACACCAAATTCATTCTTCCCCTGCCCAAGTTAATCACTATTAATTTGGTATATTTCTCTCTCTCTATCCATCTATCTAATCTATGTACATGTCTATCTAACATTGATATCTATATGTGTCTATGTCTATACCCGTTTTAGTGTTATCCTGATAACTCACATACCATACAATTCATCAATTTAAAGTACACAATTTAATGATTTTTAGAACATTCAGAGTTGTGCAACCATTAGCACAATTTTAGAACATTTTAATCACTCCAAAAAGAAATCCTGTACCCATTAGTAATCACTTTCCACTTTCTCATGGTCCTTACCAGCTGATAAGCTAATTTCTGTCTCTAGAGATTTGCCTATGTATCTTTAAAAAATTTTTTTTGTTATAAAGTAAAAGATAAAGAAAACCACACAAAACAAATGTATTGTTTAGTGAATCATTATGAGGTCAACACTGTTACATCTACCATCCAAATCAAAAACTTGAACGTGGCCCAGCTTTCCACAGAAGCCCTCCATATATACCTTCCTAATCACAGCTCTTTTCCATTCTTCCTCCTAAAGTTATCATTCTCCTGAATTATACTAATTGCTGCCTTGCATTTCTTTATGATTTTTACAACCCAAGTGTTTATTCATGAACACCAGAGTTCAAGCCTGCCAATTAAAAAAAAAGAAAGCGTTTAAACTATAGGTTTTTCCCTCAATCCCTTCCTTATATCTCTTATCTATTGAAGACCTGTGCTGTTTGACCTGTGGAGTTTCCATAGTCAGGATTTTACTGAGTACAGATACATGGTACAGCTTATCATGTTCCACTGCCCTCTATATTTCCTACAATTTTGTAGCTGGATTCAGAGATTTGATCAGACTCAGGCTTCATCCCTTTGGCCAGACTATAGGTGGTGGGGTGTTCTTTCATCAGAAGATACACAATGATGTTTCTCCTTTTATGATGTTGGTAGCTGCTGAGATTCAATGTCTAGTTCCATTAGTTCACTGGGGATTGCAAAATGGCGATATTGTAAGTCATTCCTTTTTCATTTATTGGTTGCTTGTATTTTTCAGCTTTATTTTTAATTTTATTTTAGAGTTGTGAAGTACATGTGGGGATCTGCTACATAAGTAAATTGCATGTAGGTGGAGTTTGGGCTTCTAGCAAGCCCTCTCTCCCCCGGTAGTGGACACAGTACCCAATGGATGGTTGTGTGCCCCTTATTTTCCCTCCCCTCCTCTCTCTCTCCCACTCTCTTTGCAGTGCCCATCACTGTTGTCCCTGTCTTTATGCTCGTATGCCCAATGTTTAGGGCCTGCTTATGAGTGAAAAAGTGTAGTATTCAATTTTTTGTTTCTGTGATAGTTCACTTAGAATTGATGGTTTCCAGTTGCATTCATGTTGCTGCAAAGGACTAATTGCAATATTTTTATAAAAAGACACTTTCCGGCCGGGCTCGGTGGCTCAGCCTATAATCTCAGCACTTTGGGAAGCTGATGCAAGTGAATTTCCTGAGCCCACGAGTTCAAGAACAGTCCGGGCAACTTGGTGTGACCTCGTCTCTACAATAAATAAAAAAATTAGCTGGGCATGGTAGCACGTGCCTGTAGTACTGGCTACTTGGAAAGTTGAGGCAGAAGGATCACTGGAGCCCAGAAGATGGACACTGGGGTAGTCGAGTATACCACTGCACTTCAGCCTGGGCGACAGAGTGAGACTCCAACTCAAAAAAAAAAAAGACACTTCCCTCTTCCTCTACTATTTGGTTATACAGTGGTAAATTTCAGATAAGAAAGTCAGGGGAAAGACTTGATTCCTTGCATTTATTTACATTACAAATCATATAGTCTTTATATCATACAATCTGTCCCATTTAGTCTTAGTTCAATATATAATCATATATTTAATGTTTACTAACAATTCTTTTTTTTAAAGTTTCATGAAAAAATCCACTTTACTCTTTATTGACACAGAATTTAAAATTTTTTAAAAATTTTATTTCTTATTTTAATCTCTGCATAGTCATGTTAATTGTTTGCAACCCATTTTCTAGAAGATACCAAGAACTTCTGAGTTCTTGCATGTTGACAACAGTTTTCATTTTATACTTAAAGGCCAGTTTTGTTGGCTATAAAATCCTTGACTCTTATTTCATTGAATATCTTATCTTAAATATGTTATTCCATTTTATTCTGATATTATTTTTGTTAAAACTCTTAAAGATGATTTAATTTTATTTCCCTTATAAGTCACGTGGTATTTTTGCCTAGGTGGCCAAAATATTATTTTCTTTTTCTTGAAAGTTTATAGTGTGTGTCTTGGTAGTGATCATTTTTGAGTCAATATTCTTAGGTATACAAAGTGTTCTTCCAATATATAATTTTCAAAATGAATTTTTCTTTTCATGAGCATTTTATTGGATATAGTTTTTATTACTTGTTCTGTTTCTTTTACTTTCTTCTTCAAATACTTCTATTAGTTATATGTTGAATTTTATTGTGACAAAATATATATTATGTAAAATTTACCATTTTTAACCCCCTTTTTTTTAAGAGATAGGGTTTTGCTCTGTTACCCAGATTGGAATACAGTGGGGCAATTATAGCTCACTGTAGCCTTGAATTCCTAGGCCCCCTGACTTCTATGGACCCCGACCTGCCTCTCTCCCACTTATTTTTTACTCAGGACTCAGAGACATTTTCTCAGTTGTTCTTCCAGGGCCTTTTTCCTTTCTTGTTATGGGATTCATAAAGTCAAAAAAGTCACGGGAGTCCAAGAAAGGAGGGTTCCCTTTACACTTCTCAAGTGAAATAGGATGCTGTCTATGCAGGAGGACAACTAAAAACTTCTCAGCTGTTGCTTAACGAGTTTGTTGCAGTTGCTGTACTGCTCAGTGCTGACCTATGCTTTCTTTAGCAGATCAGATATGGGAGTACACCAGTCCGGCATGAGCCTCTCCAACTCTAAGGTGATGATGACCAAGGCCAGTGTGGAACCTTTGAATTGCAGCAGCTGGTGGCCCGCCATACAGTGCTGCAGCTGCCTGGTCAGGGATGTGACGTGGAGGGAAGGATTCCTCTGAGGCAGCAGCTCTACCACAGGAGGCCAGCTCAGCACCACTAGGGCATGGGATATGTTCAAGATGTCAAGCAGCACCCCTGTGTAGAGGTTCCAGTGCAGTCTGTCCAGAATAGCCAGTTCCATCCTCTGCAGCTCATTCCAGGTATAGCCAGGGCCATAGTATTTTATGAAGTCTTTTACATGCGGAATTATCTCCTTTTCTTCGTTAACTTTTACAGCAAGCCTCAAGGAAGTAATTAGGACGCATTGGAGTTATTTCTTTTATTTTACCGAAACCAGGAGGTGGCTGAAGATGGTGAGGGCCAGGGTAAAAGTGGTCTGGGAGAAGTGGAAGACATTCTTAAGCCTCAGAAGCCACAACACGACTCCCTGGAAGGCCTCGCAGATCTCAGCCTGGAGTTGGCTGCCCTGCCACAAGCATGCCTCATGGTGATCCTCCTGGCTTAGCCTCCTGAGTAGCTAGGACTATAGGCACATGCCACCATTCCTGGATTTTTATCTTATTTTATTTTTGTAGAGACAAGGTCTTGCTCTTGCACAACTCCTGGTCTCAAGTGATCCTCTTACCTCAGCCTTCCAAGTCATTCTAGCCATTTTTAAGAGTACAGTTCCGTGGCATCAAGCACATTCATGTTGTTTTGCCAATATCACCACCATTTGTCCACAGAATTTTGTCATCTTCCCAAACTGAAATTCATCATAAAACACTTATTTCCCAGTCTTCCCTACCCCCAGACCCTGGCAACCACCATTCTACTTTCTGTCTTGATTAATTTGACTACTGTGAGTATTCCAAATAAGTGGGATCATACATTTGTCCTTTGGTGACTGGCTTATTTTACTTAGCATAATGTTTTAAAGATTCATCCATGTTGTAACGTATGTCTTTACTTTTAATTTTTAGAATATCTTCATTTAAATTTTTCTTATGGCATTATTAGTTGTTATTTATTCTTTCTTGTGTTCCTCCTGGTTTTGATGTAATTTCTAAATACCCTGTTCCCTCCCACCCCTGGCCACACACCAATTCTTGAGTATCATTACTCAATATCTGAGTTTTTCTAATTCTGATTTATGTTGTTCCTTCACATCTTATAACATTTCCTCAACGTCTTATTTTATGATTTTTTTTTTGAGTCGGGATCTCACTCTGTGCCTGGGATGGAGTGCAGTGGCATGATCATGGCTCACTGCAACCTCGAACTCCTGGGCTCAAGCAATTCTCCTGCCTCAGCCTCCTGGTTAGCTGGGACTACAAGTGCATGTCACCATGCCCAGCTAATTTTTTTATTTTTTTGTAGAGACTAAGTCTCACTATGTTACCCAGGCTGATCTCAACCTCCTGGGCTCAGGCAATCCTCCTGTCTTGGCCTCCCAAAGTGTTGGGATTACAGGTGTCAGCCACCACGTGTGACCTCAATGTCTCTTAGATTGTTTTGAAGTAATAGATTACAGTTTTTTGAGTGTGTCTTTCTGTTGCTTTTGAAGTAGTGGTGTTATTCTGCTCCTTATTCTTTTTTTTCTTATAATAACTTTTATAAAATGTGACCTTGATACTTTTGTTTGAATTTTTATGTGTGAAATTGGAAGGACGCATGACTCAGATGGCTTTTCTAATGACACAACACTCCCTTTCTCTTGATTTCATAGATGTTCAAAAATATAGTGAGTTGCTTTCTGAAATTTCCTGCCTCTGTTCCTCTCCTTCACTATTATTTGGAACTTCTCTTTTGTTTCTATTAATCTTAACCTGCTCAATTCTGATTCATCTCCCAGCAGTTTCTCTTCTGTGTAGTGTTCTGCCTTGGATGAGAGACTTAGCTGGTCAATTTTGAGAAATCACAGCAGCTAGATGGCCCCAGGCCCTTTAAAGATCTACCACTGCTCACTGACTCACCTGTTATTTGAGTAAGTAAAAGCCCTGAAATCTTCAGCTTCTCTTCTCAAATGGGCCATTACATTTACCAATGAATACTTGCTACCAACTTTTGGGTTCTTCCACTCTCAAGTCTTTTAGATCAGCAGTCCCCAACCTTTTTGGCATCGGGGAGCGGTTTTGTGGAAGACAATTTTTCCATGGACAGTGGAGGGGATGTGCAGTCAAACCTCACTGCTAATGTTAATCTGTATTTGCAGCCACTCCCCAGCACTAGCATCACTGCCTCAGCTCCACCTCAGATCATCAGACATTGGATTCTCATAAGGAGCATGCAACCTAAATCCCTCACATGTGCAGTTCACAACAGGGTTCGTGCATCTATGAGAATCTAATGCTACCTCTGTCCTCACAGGAAGTGGAGCTCTGCTGGCCCACTACTCACCCACTGCTAGCCCACTGCTCACCTCCTGCTGTGTGGTCTGGCTCCGGGGGTTGGAGATCCCTGTGTTAGATGACCAATTCTTCCTGCTGCTTTCTCTTGCACAGATGCAGATAACATGTAGGTCTTGTAACTATCACTAGTTTGTTTCCAGTGGTTTGTATTTTGGAACTTGTGGGACAGCCTACAAGCTAGCTTTGTTGTAAATGTTTATAGGTTTTTGGCTTTGCTATCTAGTTGCTCTGTTTTTATGTGGGGATTTGAGAAGATCCAAAAACTATGCAGCCTCTGTCATTTCCCAAAAGTTTCTTCCATAGCTTTTTATACATATGTATAATATATTAAAATTTTATATATATACAGTTAGTTGGCTAGCATGTGTATATACTAGGTATCCATCCATCCATCCATCCATCCTGCCATATGTAGATTTTGTTCTTTTAAAAAAGTAATAGCAGTATATTTTATACATTGCTGATTTGGAATTATTGGTAGTTATGTAAATTTAACCTTTTAATGATAGGAATAATAATAGTACTAAATATTTATTAATGCCCACTCTGGATCACCCAAACTCAGATCTGTCTGCTGCCAAATCATGTTCTCACCCACCATATTATATTGCCTTTAGTCCCAATTATCCCATCTTGGCCCTGACAGCTGGTAGCTGGCCTAGCAATGATAAGTTAGGCTGCTGGTTCTCTGCTGAACACAGTTTCATTAAATATCAACATCAGATGCGAATTCCCCAAGGTTGCAATGGTACAAAATAGAAACAAGATTGCTCTGTGTCCATGAAAATGACTAAACTTCCCCCTCTCAGCTATTGTGAGTGACTCTGCTTCTATAACAAGTGACAACTCTATCCCCATTTCATTCCTCCTTCCTCCTAGATAAAAGCTAAGATGTCCATTCGTAAGACGTTCCCATTTCCTAAGAGTATCCAGTCCAGAACAGAGCCCTTTTTTATGTAAGCCTTCCTTCAAGTCACTTAGCACAAGCCTGTTTAACTCCCTCTCTTCCAGCATTCTCTAGGCTTTCCATGGTGTAGCAAATTAACATACTTAATTTCACTTCACTACAGATATATTCCTGGCTATCTTGGGGTACTGGGCTTAATTACAGGGTCTTTTCAAAGATTTTATTTGTGACACAGTTTGAAAACTGTCAATTGCTGTGCAAATGGTTGTTACTACTAATTTTGTGTGGTGTATGCTGGAAACACATATTCCCTTTCCAATGGTTGGGTCTTAATTAGTATACCAAGCTCCTTTCTTTCTTGCTGGTAAAAGAGGTGTTGAATTAACAGATGCTAGGCACCTGAGATCTTGCTGTATTCCAATTCAAGGCAAAGGTACACTTCAACTCTCTACTTGAAGTGGAAGGCGATGATTTGGGTACCCAAGTGAGATCACACACTGTCCATTTTCCTTACTTTGCAGATAAGAAAGCTAAGTGCCAGAGAGGAGAAACTTGTCCAAAGTCACAGAATCGAAGTCAGAAAATGTTATGAAGAATCTTGACCAAGAACATATAATAGAAGAAAAGTACAGATACCTATAGAACTGGACAAATCAAGTTGCACCTGAAGCAAGACATACTCCTAAATTGTTATATGGGAAAAATCCTCTTTATTTATTTGCTTATTGTTATTATACATTTTTCTTAGGCCATTTTAGGTTAGGTGTTCTGTCTCTGGCAACCTGAAGCATTGTAACAAATACAATGGGTGACTCTGTCATGCACCCCTAGTTGAGGACCTCTAATCTAGCCTCCCTTCTGGAACACATGTTGCCCACTCTGAACTCTCTTCTTTTCTCTGTTTCTCTAGGGCCTAGCCAAAGACTTCTCACATTCTCTTGTCATCTTCCCATCCTATTTCACCTGGCTTCCAACATGAAGCCTGGAGCCTAAACACAATTTGCTTCACACTCCATCAGGGCAGAGGAACCTGCACCAACCTTCCTTTCATGAAGGTGGCCCAGGTCTGAGGAGGGTGGGAGGAAAAAAGAATGAGTTGTTTTCTTCACATACCGGTAATATCATTCCTTCCTCCCCCGGGGGGCCCCATGGCCGTCACAAGCAGCACATCCACGATGTCCAGCCTATTTGTGTCTTTCTTGTCAAACCAGTAACCGTGGTCAATCCATTGCCTCAGGAGTTCAATGGGGGGCTGAGCTCCATACACTTCTTTGGCTGGCATGTTGAGGTCATCTGGGGAAAGAAGCCATTGTAAGTCCATGGCAGCCTCTGCTGTCACAGGAAGTAACAGATGACAAGTATCTTGTGGGAGAGTCTGTGATCAGTTGTCCCATTCCCCACTCCGGGCAGGACTTAGTCAGTGGACACCCTGAAACTAGATGGAAAGGGGTTTTCCTGGATTCTGGGATCTTCTGCCTCACTGAGATTTCTGCCCATTGTGACTATAAAAATGATTGAATTGGTATCAACAAACAAGCATACAATTTTTCCTTATTTCCTGCAACCAAAATATATTGATTGTCTACTGTGTGCTAGACATTTTGTTAATTGCTGGGGATATGATGGTGAGGAAGACAATTCATCTCCCAGTCAATAGGGTATTTAATTTAACCAGCAGATAATAGTTGAATTCTAATGGAAGCAAGGTTTTAAGCTGGGGTTTTTAATGAGCAAAACCAAAATGACAAGATTAAATTATGACATCCTTGAGGGCTGAGATTGCAAATTCCCCAGTAGCATATTACTCAGTCCTGGTACATAGGAGGAACTCAATACAATGAAAGCTCTTTTAGTTTTCTTTGGCAAACATTGTGTAAATGCCTACTATGTGTAGGGGAACATTTTAGAGGCTTTACTTACAATTTCTCATCTTACCCAAGAATGATTCTATAAGGAAAACAGTATTAACTCTATGTTAAGGTGAGGAACTGAGGGTCAGGGAGGTGAAGTCACAATATACCTAGGGTTAAAAAGCAAGATTTGCACCGCAAGCAAGCATAGCATGCAGCTTACCCATTGAAAGGGTCTCCTGGAATATAGTGGTGTGATTACAGCCCACTGCAGCCTTGGACACCTGGGATTAGAGGTGTCCAAGGCTCCTGGCCTAAAAGCGGTCTTTGCAGGTAGTTTGGATCCTTAGCCTGGAGGAACCTACTGAAGATTATTGCCCATACAGGTCTTCGGCTCCAGGCCTCAAGCTGTCCTCCCATCACAGCCTCCCAAAAGTGCTGGAATTTACAGGCATGAGCCACACAACCTATCCTCATTCAGCTTTAATTTGTTTGGCTATAAAGCTAACACTGTTTTTAAACATACCTTAAAAATAGGGAGAGAGGGCTAGATGGGGAAGAGGAGAAAGGAAAGGAAAAATTAATAGGATTCCTGCCTCTAAGGAGCTGATGTTAATTGGCAAGTACATAAATACATGCAATGTTTACTCTTAATACATGAGTATTAAAAATAGCTCATGAGATAACCTAGATGTGTGGGACATTACTATTACTAAATGAGAAATCTATGCATCAGCAGTAAGATGGTGTAAAATACAATGTGTTTGGCACCAAGAAACCTAGGTTTGGGCCGTGACCTCCTGAATTTTCTAAATGTTTGATACTGAACAGGAAATTTATCCTCTGGAGCCTCAATTAACTGACTGGTAAAATGATAATGATGGTTAATAATATCATAGAGTTATTAGGTCAAAATGAAATAAATGAGGGCGTACTTTATAACCAGGTAAAGTACCAGGAAAATTCATTGTGCTTATTTCACAAATATTTTTTTAGCAATATTAGGTTCTTCTATTTACCAACAACATACGTATCTGATACAAAATGAAATAAAGGACTTATCACAAAGTGTATCGCTTTTGGAGATGCCAGGGGTCAAACACAACAGTCCTCTTCTGGAATTACTCACCATAAGAAAGGAAGGAAGAAAGGGAGGGAAAGAGGGAAGGAGGTAGGGAAGGGAAAAGAAGGTGGGGGGAAGAAATACTATTCTATTAACCAGGAATATTTTGTTTCCCAGAGAAAGTAAAAGGACTGTACGGTGGCGCTACAGAGGGAAGTGTTGGTTTGCTGCAGCTTGAAACACGACCTGGTTGTGTTTCTTCCCAGGCCTTACCCATGATGCCTTACCCACAAACACCACTGCTTTCTTTCCTATGGGAGGCCCAAAAAGGCCCTTCCGTCGGCGATCCAGCTTGGACATGATGATGTCCTGGGTCTGATTAGCTGAGGTTCTAGCAGAGAAATTGATGCAGTTGGGCAGGTAGGTATTTTTGGGAAGGTGGAGAAGGAAGTTGTTGGTGATGGCAGATTTGCCAGTGCCTGTGGGACCCACGAACAGCATTGGGATCTCATGGTCCAAGTAGGTTTTCAAGAAGAAAGACTGCCGGGCTGTCTCCATTGTGGGGATGATGAGTTCTGAGACCTGTACCACAAAGACATGGGAAAATCTTGGTTCTGGGCCCAGGAGGCTGGGTCTTGTCCTTTAAGGGACCTGAGTTTAAATTCTGTCTCCATTCCTTACTATGTTTATGACTGTAGGTGAGTACTTAACCTCTCCAGGGACCTCAATTTCTTCATCTGTGAAATGAGGATAATAATGGCACCTAATTTACAGAGCTAGTTTGAGGATCGAGTGAGATCATGCATGTAAAGGTGGGCACTAGTATCCATGTGTTACAGATGAGGAAACTGAGATCCAGAGCCTTTCTGCCACCTGCCCAAGCAACACAGCA